GTTCAACTGTTGTGGAAAGCAGTATGGAAATTCCTCAAAATGCTCAAAATAGAAATGCCATTTGACCCAGAAATTCCACTCCTAGGAATTACCCTAAGAATGCAGCAGCCCATTTTGAAAAAGACAGATGCACCCCTATGTTTATGGCAGCACTATTTACAATAGCCAAGAAATGGAAGCAACCTAAGTGTCTATCAGTAGATGAATGGATAAAGAAGATGTGGTACATATACACAATGGAATATTATTCAGCCATAAGAAGAAGACAAATCCTACCATTTGCAACAATGTGGATGGAGCTAGAGGGTATTATGCTCAGTGAAATAAGCCAGGCAGAGAGAGACAAGTACCAAATGATTTCACTCATATGTGGAGTATAAGAACAAAGAAAAACTGAAGGAACAAAATAGCAGCACAATCACAGAACCCAAGAATGGACTAACAGTTATCAAAGGGAAAGTGACTGAGGAGGATGGTGGGAAGGGAGGGATAAGGGCGGGGCAAAAGAAAGGGGGCATTACGATTAACATGTGTAGTGGGGGGGGGGCACGGGGAGGGCTGTACAACACAAAGACGAGTAGGGATTCTGCAGCATCTTACTATGCTAATGGACAGTGACTGTAATGGGGTTTGTGGGGGACTTGGTGAAGGTGGGAGCCTAGTAAACATAATGCTCTTCATGTAATTGTAGATCAATGATAAAAAAAATAAAGTGTGCAAAGAAGGTTTCTCAAGGCAAAAACTTGGAAATCCCCTTAACTCTCCTCTTTCTTGTGCCCCATCCAATCCATCTAGTCCACCATCAAGCCCTGTCACCTCTCCCTTCAGGAGCTGTCCAGGCTCTTCTCTCCATCTCTACTACTATCCTAGCCCAGGCCAGAACCACTGTGAAGCCTTAACTGTATCCACTCTTGCCCACACCAACCCCAGGCATCCTCTACCTGGCACCAGAATGGCCTTTAAAAGTAAGTTAGATCACATCAAGTTTCTACATAAATCCTAACTGCTTCCCACTGTGCTTCATCTGATCCTTGCTTACCTACTTCTCAGACCAGCTGCCCAACTGCCATGCTGCTCCAGCCACACTGACCTCTTTTCTGCTCTTCATGCAAGCTCAGAAGGGTCTGGCCTCAGGGACTTTATGCCAGCATTTTTCTCTAACTGGAATGCTCTCTTCTGAGACTCTCAGCTGACTGATAACCTCCTGTTGTTCAGGTCCAAATTAAGACAAGAGGGAGTCTTACATAAAGGTCACTATAAGTCACTCAATATTACATTACTCGGTTTTAATTTTTTTCTTAGCGTTTATTATAGCTTAAAATTATTAAGAACTACTGCTCTCTTTCTCCATGGGAGCAGAATTCTAATATGTCTTGTGCACTGCTGTATTCCAGAGTGCCTAATACATGCTCTGGTTCACAGTAGGCACTCAAATATTTGTTGCATGAATTAATGAGGGGAAGCCAGAAGGAGACTGAGAAAAAACAGTTAAAGTTGCAAAGAAAATCAGAAGAGAGTAGAGGCTAAGAGAAGAGGTCTTAAGAAGGAGGAAGTAAAGAATGATGACTAAGAAGCCACTGAATTTGGCAATTCCATCTTTGGTATCCTTAGTGGGGGCAACTTCAGAAAAGTAGAGAGGTAAAAATAAAAAAATGCAGCTTACAATGGGCTAAGGAGCAAATGGGAAGTTCAACTGGGAAGGGCAAAGGGAAGGAAGAAGATGGAATACTATTTTAAGGGTGAGAAAAGACAAAAGAAAGGGGAATATGTGCTCCTGTTTTCAGGCTCAAGGGCAGGACCCTGTGGGAAAGGGGATACATGAGAGAAAAAAGGAAAGAGGGGCTAGGGCAAGGTCCCGGATGTTACAGGAAGAAACGGCATCCTTTTCTCTAACACTAGCCCACACGATCACAGTACAATATCTGTTTTATGCTCAGAAATATCTACTCCCTGGAAATACACTGTTATTTGCATAATCCTTACATAAGTTTGGTCTAAAAAAATCACTATTAAAAATCTTGCACATCTCTTAATTCTTAGAAGGTACACCCTGGGTGTTATGGAGTAGAGAGCCATGAGATGTGCAGTGTACTTACTCTCTGGTGGTTCAGAGAACAAAAGTGAGAGAGAGAAACCAACAAAGTGAGATGTAGAGAGGAGAGGAAGAGTGTGTGTGCAAATGATAAAGCAAATAAGGCAAAATGGTGACAATGGGTAGAATCTACACAAAGAATATGCAGATGTTCTGTGTACCATTTGTACAGCTTTTCTTTGAGTTTTAAATTATGTATAAATAAAAAGTTAAAAAGAGAGAGAAACTTTGCACACCTAAACTAAGCAGGGAAGGCAACTCCCATGAATAGTTGGTGTGCAACTGTCAGATTTCTCCGTAGACTGTCACTACTACTAAAGGAGTAAGCAACAAAAATGTGACAGTGGTGGATAAAGGCATGTGGCATAAACCTTACAGAATTTAACTAAAAGAAAACGTTGAAGCTATTTGTAAAAGACTGTTTTCATTACACTATAAATGTTTGTATAACATGAGCGGAATAATTCTCTATAACCTAGCATTTCTAATAAAAAGAAGTCCATCCTGTCATTAGAAAACTATTATTATTATTTGGTTTTTAGAAGACACACAGTATAAAGGAAATCTAATAAGGTCATTCCTTGATGACCAGAACAGAAAAAGGTCTGAAGCAGTTTCCAATCCACGGTGGTTAAGACTGCTCCAGTGGGCCAGCCTAAGAAATGAAATACCTGCAGGTGAACTCTGTGGTTTGCTGATGGTAACTGTGGCTATGGAACAGCTGCCAAACACAACTACAGTACATCTGGGAAAAAAGATGGTAATATTCCTTATGTATGGAATATTAGTTAGAATACAGACACAGAATTGTCAAAAATAAGAATGACTGTGAGGCACCTTCTCATCTCCACCTCTCTGCAAAGTGCCCTCGTAACAAGCCGAAAGCCTACCCAGGCAAGGACTCTTTCCCACTCCCAACTGAACAAGCTACTAAAACAGAGAATGCCAGTTTTCTTAGTGACAACGACCTTCTGTTCCTGTGACCCATGGCCGGAGATCTCAGCAAGAATCACCTGGACATGGAGGTGAGACAGGTCTCTGCTGGTAGGAAGGCAGAGGAGCACGTGCACTAAGTTTAAACTCACGAAATCCATGGGTCAAGGTTTCATGTGCTAAGACCTCAACATAATACTTCTCATCAGGTTCTGACATCCAAAGGAAGGACTGACTGACAAGCCAGATTCGAGTTCTTCTTACACACTCAGAATTAACTTATCCTCAAACAGCATGCCCAGTTTCTCTCCAGTAATTCAGGACTAGAAGTATCACAGGGTCTAAACTCACACCCGCCTTTAAACAAACCGGAATCACTACTATTGTATCTCCCAGGGGGTGTTCAAGGCAAAATTTGAGTGCAAAACTAAGATTTTCATGAGCTTTTCTTATTTACTTAAATTGGAATGACTACTCACTGTTCTTAAAGTCTTTCCTTAAGACAGGAGTTGCTAGAAAAGGCGGCTCCTGGTTATGTTGTTTGCTTTTGGAGGCTGGGGCCCAGGAAAGGAGTGGATTGCTGAAGAAAGCTACCAAGTTTAACTCAGTTCCTCAACAAACACACGCTAAGGGACTAAAAGGTGTTCAGGGCGCTGAGCCTAACCTCTCCCTGCCTCCCAGGCCTTACTGTCTAGTCGGCAAGACATGACCTATAGCATATGACCAAGTGCTGAAAAGAAACAGCACAGACAATAGCTTTTGACCAAGGAGATTCTGATTGCCTGGGCTCCTGGGGTCAGAAACTAGCTTCAACGAGGAAGATGAGTTGCGCCTGAAGGATGGCAGGATTCTGCAAGGTGGGAAGGAGGGTCTTGCAGGCAGCCTTTCTGATATCAATATTTTCACATCCACACTCATTTGAGTCTTATAAAAAAAATCCAGGGGAATAAGAAACTAAGCACATCCACAATTTATGAAGAAAAGTTAAGGATGAAAAGACTTGACAAGTGGAAAAAATAAGCAATGGAATGGCCAGCAGCCCAGGCTAGTGTGGGAGAGAATGAGGAGAATAATTCAACCTAAGCCTAGGACCCACGAGGGACATGGCATTTTGGAGATAAAGAGCAAAGCAGCTAGGCACCAGAAGCCTAGCTGGGAGGCGCGGTCCAAGAGCCCAGGGTGAGAGAGAGGTAACAAGGGTGTGAATTCAAAAATCACTGGACAAGGATTGATAACATTTGTTTTAAGTTTTAAATTACCAAGAAAACAAACACAAAAAACCTTGTTTCCCTTATATAAATCAGTTTCAGGGAGGGAAACCTCCAACCAACCTATCTCCCACATAGCTACTGAAAACCCAAAGGGCATTAATGATTTACCAACACACTAACAACATCATTAAAACTGGCTTATGAATTAAAACTGGAATTCTCAACAACATAGCTGGAAATACAAGTTCACAACTTTCAGGGCTGCCTAAATGAGAAATACTCCGCCTTTACTAGGGTTTCCTAAGATTTGGGGATTTTTCCATTCACAACAGTTTGATTTGGTCAACTGAAGACCGACTTATTTCCATATGTAAGCCTTGACCTTGCAAAGAGGAAGGACCCAAAAAACGTAGGCAGAATAAATGAAGCCACCATCACAGGCAACTCTAATGCCAGTCTCTTCCCCCACCCCCACCCCAAAAGCTTTCTAGATTCTGGAATCAAGTCTGGAAGAGAAACCTTTCGGCTACCGTTCCCCAGCCTTCCGAGCCGGGGACTTAACGTGAGGTCCTCACGGTCACGTTTTCCCAAAAGTAACGCCACAGTGCCATTTCCCGCAGATGACAACTGCTCAGTCCTGCTATGTCACAGCCTTCCCCGAGCCAGATCCGAGGAGCCGCGGGCCCCGGGAAGTCTCAAAGCGGTCGGGGCGGCGTCGGGGGCAGCGTCTCCGGGAAAGGGGCTGCTCCTTGCGCACTACTCACCGCGACCGGGCGGCCGTGCTCCGGGCCCTCGGCAGCGTCGAGGCGCGGGGCGGAGGCGGGCGCGCCGGGCGCCGGGGCGGAGGCGGGCGCCGGGGCCGCGGCCGGGGCCGGAGCGGGTGGCTGCCGGTGTTTGCCGGCGCGCTTGGCCTTGGCCTGGATGCAGCGCTGGTGGAGGGCGAAGGTGTGCTGGCGCTCGAGCTCCAGGCGCTCGGGCGATACGGCCTCGTAACGGGCCTCGCAGGTGCTGTGGTGGCGCCGGCACAGCTCGATGCGCCTGCGGAGGCGCTCCATGACCGCGCTGTGGCGCGGCAGCGCGAACTCCGCCATGGGGCAGTTGGGCAGCACCATGGGCCGCGGGCTGCACGGGCCGGGCCCGGGGCGGGCCTCTCGGGGTCGGCTGGCACTGCGGGCTCTGCTCCCCGACGGCGGTTCGGCAGCCTCACGGCTGCGCCATGGCCCCGCAGGCTGCGGAGCGGGCTCACGCGCGGCGGCGGGTCTTCCTGCGGCCCCGCTCGGCCCGGCCGGAGCCGGCCCTCGCTGCCCACCTCAGGCTTCGGCCTCTCCCCGCCGCTCCGGCCCCATTGTTTTCCGCGCCACCGCCGCCGCCATCTTAAAATTGTTTTCAGGGCTCTCGGAAGAGGGCGGGACCCCGACAGGCGACCGCGGCGTCCTGGCTGATGGACAGGGACTGCGGCCAATCAGAGGGGAAGAGCGGGCCGCCCCAAGGGCGGGGGCGAGCTCGCAGGAGGCGCGCTGGGGACTCCAGAGTGGAGTTTAAAAGGAACTCGGAATGTGGGGCGGGGAGAAGCTCCGGGCCGGCGGTAGGCTCTGGCCCCGAGCCCAGGGTGACGGACAGGAGCCGGTCCCAAACACCGCCCCGGGGGGCAGGCCCTTCCGGGTCCGTCGGGGAAAGCGGGGTGGTTGGCGCGGGATAACTGGCCAGACCCAGACGGCTCTCGGCACCCCAGCGCTTCACGATTCTTTTCGGCAGCCTTTTTGAGTTTGGCTCTGCTGAGCTCACGAGAGGGCTCGCTGTTCCAGCCTCAGCTGTTCTTCCTCTGCTTTTATACCCAGGCTCCTAATTGGTCAGGATTGTCCACGCCTGAGCTAGGTTTCTTCCTGCACAATCTGAATCATGGGACTGTCGAGTTTCATTTACATAAAACTTTGAACATGTTTCTAAAGTTCAGAGTTACTCGCCACTTAAAAAAAACAACAAAGAATGCATCTCGATGTGAGGAAAAGGTTGTGGAAAACCTAGCTCTCATTAGCGGTCAAAAACAGGGAGCCTGGCCTGCTTTACCTTTAAAAGTTGGTCTGTCAGGTAAAAACTGAGCCACTCAAAAGCTAACCAGATAATTATGCTTTAGAATCTTAACTAGTAGGCAAAGGGGGTGAGAGACTTGGGGGAAAAACAGGAGCAATGATAGTACTGGAGCTAGATTGTGTTGGGCAAAGAGCTACAAGAACAGGTAGCCACTCCCTAATAGCTAAGAAGTTAAACAGGACAGACCAGGAGGCTGGACATTAGAGAGGCACCAGCAACAGCTCAAACATTTGTTACAGTAACTTGTTTTAATTATGAACTTATTCAAACAGTATTTGTTTTTACACAAATTAAGTAAAAAAAAAAAAAAGTTACAAAACCATGGCAAGTGCCTGGGGCTCACAAATGCAGTAACATGGCCTTGGCTTTTTACTGGTCTTCAAACAAAAAAATTTTACACCAGAATTAAATAACACATTTCTTTTCTAATGGGAAAAAGAACAGTAACTTGGGAGCACTACATTTTGTGTACTTCTCTACAGTAAACAATCCAAAAGCCAATTACCACTTAAGTTTTGCTTTAACTTTGAAAAGCATCCCTGAAAAAAGAGAGTATGTACAGTGGAGTGTGATTTGAACAAAGATTTATTTTCTATAAGTTCAATAGCTAAATCTTAAAATAAAATTTTTTATTATCTGCAAATTATCCCTCCCTCTCTGAGCTGTTATCCTTATTATAAAATGGAAACTGACCCCCAATCTAGCTGGAAAAGGAGGCAAAACCTGGATTGAGTGGATCATATCCATGTAATAAGATGAAGTATTCCATTGTCCTTGAATAGTTTCTGCATACAAGCAAACTCATATAGTGGTCAATGAAAGGAAGATCAACCCACTACTGAAATAGTAAAACATGAAGAAGTTCAGTCAAAAGCAGAAGCTTAACACGGTTTAATGTAATACCATTTAGTAACACGGCAATTTGGGAAGAGAGAATAATTATTTTGTGGATGAGAAACTGAGGAAACATCTGATGGGAGTGGGCATTTCACAATAAAGGGACAGATAACCAGCATGCATAATGGTAACATAAGTTTCCTTTTAAAGAGTTGAAAACTACTGCTGGTCATTAACATGTCAAGACAATTCAATCAGGAAGCTTGTGAAAACAGACCAAGAAAATACTTTTTTGTTTTGTTTTGGACAGACTTTGTTAAATAACCCTGGAAACGTTAATGAACATTCTGATTTACACTTTCATTCTACAACATAGCTGGAAGAAACTGTGAGGCATGAAATATGACATGAGTGGAGAAGAAAGAAGACAGCTTTCCAGAAATGCAATGATCCCACACATTTGCTTCAAGGAGAAACCTGCAGACATATTTTCAGATCTTGCTAAGTAACTGTTTATTTGCACTCAATACATTTGGGAAAGTCTGCTACATAGCTAAGGTCACTGTGACCACAGAACAACAGATGAAAAGAATAAAGCACTGAAAAGCAAGAAAAATGCACCCCACCCTCCTAAGAATTTAAGTGAACCAGTAAAAAAATGAAGATAAGCAGATACAGCCTTCATCTTTTATGAATATACATACCTCCCATTATCTCCCCAATATAAACACTCTGGAGTGTTTATATATTCAGTGCAAGGAACAGTATCATCGGTACATTTCAAACACATCTGAAGAAAGAATAAAAGCTGAAACAACACCTAGTCCGAATACATTTCAGTGTGGTGTAATAATGGTATTATTACACTATAGTGACTGGGGAGAGGCTCTGATAGCACCCATCTGCATTCCACATGGGGGGAAAAAAAACCCTAAGATTACTTTTTGAAAAATTCTACAAGCCATATACCAAAAAAAAAAAAAAATCAACAGGACTGATTTATCATGTAATTTAAGATGTAACTTACATGAACTGCAAATGAAGATGTAAGAGGTTTAGCAGCTATAAAAATCAGGTAATTCATGCTGTATGTCACTCCTCCCATAAATACTTTTAGTCTGTGCTCAATTACAGTCAATTCTGAATTGGCTAGCCTCTGGATTAGACTTCTCAAGTCTTAACAGAGGAAAAGAAATGGATAAAAATTAAAGAGCATTCTATCCTGTACTTTGACCCTGGAGAGGTGTGGGTCTGCATAAAAAAGGAAGACAAATACAGGTAATCACAATAAAGCTTAACACTACGCAGAGCTTATAATCATTTTCAGCAACGGACTGCAAGCTGCACTGTGAAGAAAATGCATAGCAGAGGAGAAAGCTGGGAATTTGGGAAACAGGGAGGGAAAACAGTGTCAACACAGTGGAAGAAGTGATGAGCACATCTGCATTAATTTGGGGCTCACACGCCCTGGCAGCATCTTTAAAAGGCCACCTGCTCAAGAAGGCTGGCACCCAGACACCCCGCTGCAGGAAGTATGAATGCTCAAGTGCCACCTTATGCCACCTCCTCCAAGAACTACAAAGTTGTCTGGGAACCGAGCTGCTCCAAGGGCAGTGAACACACATACTTTACAGTCTGACCAACATCAAGGAACAGGTGTTTTTTTTTGTTGTTACGTCTATTTTTAATATAACTTAAACAGAACCTTTATATAAATTTGGGCTTCCATCCAATCCACCTCAATTTCCCTAGGAAGAATTGAGTAATGGAAGCAAGCAAAACAAGATTATAACCACAAATGACTGCACTTTAAACATGATCACCAATTTTAAGGGACAGAGACACCTGAATGTTTTGTAATACCAAACTTATAAAACAAAATTAGTTGCAAAACTGCAATTCATCCCTCTAGCATTTCTGGAAGTTGATGTTATTTCTGCATGGTCAGATTAATATATTAAATTAAGTCAAGATTTTAAAGACTGAAAGTTTTATCGCTCTATTTTAAAAAACAAAGATGTTAAAAAAAAAAAGAAGTTAGTTGCTTCATGTTACATTTCACAACTATTAATGTTAAATGCTGTCTTTCTACAGAAACAGGGCCCTTTATGTCACAATTGCAATTATTTACTGCTAGGTGTTGAGAAGTACATGGGCTAGTATTCAACTGGAACCTGTTGATGGTGACATTTGGAGGTTTTCTGAGTTTCAACCTGTGTGCCAGGTCCGCTCCTAGGACCACACTTGCAAGGGAAGGGGAGGGAGAGGAAATCACAGATCAAGTTCTTAAGATTGTTTCACTCTCTTCGTGGCTTTCTATTTCTCGGTGATCTGTTCAAAACTTCATCCTCCTGTTAAAAAGCAAAATATTCACTATAATTAGCATACTGAAAAAGTAGAAGTTCATCAAGTTTTCAAGATCAGCCAGGCTGAGAGTAACCTACCTGAGGAATAAACAAGAAAAATAATCAGAAGAAAATGTACCATTACAAAGACTATCTCTGAGGTGGTGGGACCATGTGCACTCTAATTTAGTTGTTTTCTATAAACATGCACTTTTCTCAATATGATCCATAATCCTCTTCTTAAAAAAAGACAAGGCACCATGCCTTAACATGCATTTTTCTTGCTTACTCATGAATAATCTACTGGCCTGTGCACACATGGGCCCCTTTTGAGGCTGAGAAGGGTAGATTTCATGGGGACTGAAGACAATTCCAGAAGAGCCCCGTATTAACACTCAAGCCTACAAGCCCCAGCGCTCTTCCTGTGCCACCTAGCAACTTCCCACCATGTGAGGGAGTCTGAAGAATATAAAGAAGTATGTGACACTGGTCCTACCTGTAAGAACTTTACATTCTAGTTGAGAGAATATATCCATGGGAAATAAAAACAGCATTGGCCTTTACTAATAGGAGGCCAGAGTTGTGGTAGCTGGCAATGGAAATGGGTAGAGTTTTCCAGGAAGGAACAGACTGAAACAGAAGTGCTTGGAAGATGGACTGTGGTAAGGAAGGTGTGGACTATTCTCTTTCCCTCACACCTCATATCCAATTCACCAGAAAACCCATATCCAGAAGCCCAATGAATACCCCCACCCTTCTCTCCTAGCACCCCACTCAGAGACTCCATGTTTTGCCTGGATAATTAAAGCAGCCTTCTAACTAGTCTTCCTGATTTTCCCTGGTCTATAGAAAACATGACAGAGTAATCAGACCCTATCATTCTGTGCCCTAAAGCCTACACTAGCTGCCCATTTCATGAAGAGGAAAAGCCAAGGCCTCAAGGGCTAAGGAGGCCCCATCTATGCTGGAACCCTCCGACCCTCCTTTGTCTGCCCCTCACTGGCCTGGCCACACTGGCTCCTTGCACTGCCACTGCAGGGCTTTGTGCTGGTTTGTTCTCAAGTCAGAAATGCTCTTCCACCAACCTCTCCATGGCTAAGTCACTTACCTCCTGGAATCCTGCTCAAACATCACCTCTCTGAGGGGGCCCACCATCTTTAACATGGCAACCCATCCCACCCCAAGCACATTTCATACCCCTTCCCGCCCGCTTACTTTTCAAGGCTGTTGCTTTCTAACCTGCCATTCGTTTACTGCTTCATAATATCTACTGCTTACTGGCCATTTCCTCCCACTAGAATTTAAGATCCTCAGAGGCAAGGTGTCTTTGCCTGTCTTGGTCACTATTAATGGTGGCACACAATGGTCACTCCCCGAATTATCTGTTAGATGAATGGATGGATGGATCCATGACCATCAGGGACAAAGTTCTTAGAATGCAGTGATTTGTACAGGATATACTCTGCAAGGGAGCAGTCAGCACAGGGGTGTGAGCAGACGGCAGTGTTCAACTATGGCCTTAAGTTGCCACCTTAGAAAGCATTTTATTCATTCTTCCCCATGACCTTCTGCTTATTCCAGAAAACACTCAGCCCAGAAAAAAGCTTCTGATATTCAGATATACTTTGAAATCATCAAATAAAATGTGGACCTGCATTACTAATTCCACTTTTATAAACAGAATTTTTACTACAGCCACTGAAAATTAGCCTATGAAAATACTCCTTCTTGAATGTACCCTCAGCTTAGCTGCATGATATACAGAATGTGCTCCCTTTCCTATTACCTCTGCTTTAGGTTTTCTGTCTTCCTCCTCTTGACTGACAGTGCCATCTTCTTCAGCATCACTTTTCTGCTTCTCTTCTGAGACAGGAGTCAAAGTAGAACAGATGAGCAAAACCTTACACTTGTTGGAAGTTAAGACAATTAGCATCAGAACACACCCCAGAGGCTGAAACCTCTCAGGCCTTGGCTAACGACAGTATTTTGGGGTCTACTTACCAGGCTTCTCTTCACCTTCCTCCTCCTCGTCTCCCTTGTCCTTTTCCTCTTCCTTCTCTTCTTCTTCCTCCTTCACATCTGGCTGGGGGGCATCAGTCTTCTTGTACTCCACAGGACTGGGCTGTTTCTGCAACATTTCCCCAAGTGAAACAATTTTGTCCAGGTTTTATGCATCACTTTGTCACATAGTTACTGAATGCCTATGAGCAACGTTCGTATCAGGCATATACTGGGGTAGGTACACAACATGAGTAAGATGTAATTCCTGCCCTCCAAGCTTCTTCTCTGGTGAGCATGTTATGACTCAAGGTTGAAGAAGAGTTAAGAGCAGAGGGGTCAGGCAGGAACAGGACAGACTAAACAGTCAAGGTGCCTGAGGCAGGCAGAATCGTGGTGGGGGCATAAGGCTGATCAGGGGATCAGGTTACAAAATCTTGAATGCAAAGTGAAATGTAATGCCCATAGAGAAAAGTAGAGAGCCTAAACAAATGTTCTGGTTTTTTGTTTGTTTGTTTGTTTTTGATGGCACTATAACAAAGGCTAACAACAGAAACTTAAAATGAGGTTGTTACTCCCACACACACACTTTTGGTGGGGAGAACTGGGATGCTGAGAGAGGAACGGACAATGAGAAATCAAAAACTGAATTATAAAAAGTATATGAATAGAAACAGTTATACCAGAAGAAAAAGCTGGTTTGTGCCCAGATGGCTGGTTTTATATCTGAGTCCCAATGCCCCCAAATATTAAGGTGAGTAACACAACAGGCTTTATTACTAGAAATGGAGGGGCTATAAATCCTTCTGTCCGGGCACTACAAAAGGCCACTGAGAGCAGCAAATAAGGTTTCAGAGGCTGATACCAAACACCGTCCCATCATTACTGAGCTGCTACAAAGAAAACCTCAGGTGATACATCCTAGTTATTTTAACATCATCAGAGTTCTTCCACCAAACAAAAAGACATACCTTTCCAGAACAGCAGAAGAGAATGACAAGAAACACAGGCAGAGCTACAGTCAAAATGTAGACCACCCAGAGCCACGGGCGCTCCTCGGCTGCTTCAATCATCTGGCCCACCACACCTGGCTGAAAACAAGGGGAGATGGACTGCCCATTCTGGCGACTGACACCGAATATTGGCTGTACTGCCCACAGCTCAGGTAGGCATGGCCCCGCTGGGGTCCTCCTTTTTTAAAGGGTGAAAGCTGACATGTATGCATTGGAAAAAGGAAGTGAAAGAAAAGCCTCAATTTTCCCGCTCTCCTCATCTCCAAGGTGATTTCCCGTCATACATGTGAAAGGGGGCCTCTTAATCACCTGCCAAAGGCACCCTTAACCTCAGGGCCAGTAAATAAGGAATTTCTTGTCTCTGGCTCTCTGTTTCACAGCTCAGCCATATGACCAACTGTGTGAAAATTCCATATACTGGCTAAGCCAAGATTCAACATGTAAGAGTATAATAAAATATACCCTAAATTGGAAATTTTGTTAAATATACTTTTAACACAGTAATTTAAAAAATACCTGACACATAACACAAATACAGTATCTAAAGCCTTGACATTAGACTCGTGAAATCCTGCCCAAAAAGAGCAGCATGTTTGTCTTTGGCAGGCAAATAGTCACTTTTTATGCAAACATTCCCAAGTAAGGGAAAACAAATTCTAGAAGATGGCTTATCACAACAGCAGCAGTTAGTTACTTGCAATAAGACATAAATGCACAAGGAACAAGAAAGTACCAACCTCAGCAGCTCCGTCAGCAGCTTTCTTCAGACCCCATCCATCATTGGCCCAATCATCAACTACTCTTCGATCGCCACAAATGATAAAGTTGTCAAAAAAAATGTCCGAGGTCATGGACCACAGTTCCAAACCAATAGCACTAAAAGGAGTCATTCTGAAAGGTTCTAGATCTTCAAAGAAATCTGGATTTGGTATTTTCTGGGGTTTCCAGATTCCCTGAAGAAAAATGTTTTAAAAATTCATTTCAGACAATGTTCAACACAAATTTAAGATGAATCTGAATGAGAATTAAAATGAAATCTGCATGATCAAGGAAGAGTAAGTGCTGACTTTGGGGAACTTAACTGAATAACAGGAAGAAAACAATAAATACTATTGGTGCCTGTAAGTAAGGTCTGGACTCCAACCAGTTTAAATTTCTCCGATCGTCCATGATATTGATCCAAACCAGTAGCCTCCACTCTTTATCAACTGCCACTGGGAGTGGGAGCAGACGTTAGTACAGACTACCTTCAGCAATAATTCACAATGTAGAAGATGATCCACCAGCAATTTCACTTCTAGATAACTACCTACAGCAATGGTTACCACACACACCCAGACCTGTCCAAGGACGATTACTGGAGCCAGGACGCTAAAGGCAAAAATGACAATCCAGCTAAATGGCCTTCAACAAAATAGCTAAAGGGCAGTTCTTAATTTATCTTATTCTTTGAACAATTCAAAGTACATTTTAAAACAGAAAAGTATGCATACCGTGTATGCACAGAGACCTATGCCTCACACTTCAAAGTGTGACAAAGGAGAAATTAATGATTACTAACAACTTGACTAGGACAGAAGCAGCAGGAGAGACCAGGGTCTGAGTGGTTACATGACTGCGGTAAGCTGGATGCATTTATAACGTCACTACCTGCATTATCATCATCTCCTTTGCACTTCAGTCTCTTTACAGTCGAAGATCTTACAGTCAAGCAACATGCCACCTATAGTTGGGAGCCAATTCTTGTGACAATGCTCTGCACTGCGCCATGGCACCACTGGCCAGTTTGGACCCTGTGGCCACAGCACCCCTGCTACACCATAGCAGGGCACCCAAACCACAAGTTTTCCACTTTTTTTTCTTTGCAATTTTAGAAGCTCTTCTTTCCAGTTTCTAGGTTTATCTTTTCAACACTTAACATATAAGCTCTCTTCCAATTCTGAAATTCATTTTGTTTTCAATTCCACGGTTTGAATATTGTGGTAGCTTCACTACGAACAAAACTTCATTCTGAACACTGACAGATCAATGTAGCAACTCAACCTTCAGAGGCACAAACCTGGTAGGTAGGATTGTCAATCATGGGAGGCTTCCATTTGCCCTTATAATTAGGGTTTTCAATCATAGGTCGCTGCCAGACACCACACCCAGGGGCCGACTCACACTTCGGGTTGGCAATCTGAGGCGCCTCCCATTCTCCATCCATATCTTCATCCCTGTGGGGATGTAAACAAATTGCAAATGGGGTTTGTGCTGCAGGACTATGAACAGCCACCCAGGGGCTCCCCTGAAATCTAGCACAAATGCTTTCACAGTGTCATACACAGAGTATCATCCTTTCTCTGCATTTCCAGTGACAAGGGTTTTTCATGAAAGGTTCATTAAAAAAAGACACAAAAATGTAATCAAAGTTATTGAGCTCTACACTTAAGTTTGGGCACTTGGCTGTATTTAAGTATTAACTATTAATTCAATTAAAAAGTAGGTAATTAAAAAAGTTAACTAAAGCTCTTACCAATCCTCTGGCTTCTCTGCATCTGGATCAGGTACATATTCAGGTTCATCATCTAACCAGCCTTCAGGCTTTGTGGCTTCTTCATCTGGAATCTTAGCAGGAGCATCTTCATCCCTTAAACACAAACAAAAAAGCTAGTTATGACAGCCCTGGCCAGAGAATGGCAACATAGTCTCACCCTGTGAACCTGAAAAAGGGTAATCTAAAAATATTTAAGGTCTTACTTCATCTCAAAAATTAAAATAATTCCTTATAAAAAATATTTCTTATAATCTGATAAAGGCCTAGTATCCAGAATATATAAAGAACTCTTACAACTCAATAATAAAAAGACAACCTAATTTAAAAACTGGCAATTGACTTACACAATTGAATTGACATATACGAATGGCCAGTAAGCATATGACAAGATGTTCAACATCATTAGCCATCAGGGAAATGCAAATCAAAACCACAGTAAGATATCACTTTATACCCACTAGGATGGCTGTAATAAAGATGACTGATAAAAGCAAGCACTGGCCAAGATGTGGAGAAATTAAAACCTTCATACACTGATAGGAAGGTAAAATGGAGCAGCCACTTTGGGAAAGTTTGGCAGTTCCTCAAAAAATTAAACAGTTATCATATGACCTAGCAATTCCACACCTAGAGTACATGAGAACAGGAAAACGTATATCCACCCAAAAACCTGAATATGACTGTTCACAACAGTATTATCCATAACCACAAGCAAAAAAAGGGAAACAACTTATCAATCAACTAAGGAATAGATTAATAAAATGTGGTAATATCCACACAATGGAATACGGTCATAAAAAGGAACAAAGTACTGATAGACGGCAGCAAGGATGGACCTTGAAAACATTCTGCTAGCTGAAAGATGCCAGACACAAAAGGCCACACATTATTTTATTTTGTGTCCAGAATGGGCAAATCCAGAGACACAAATAAATTGGTGGTTGCCTGGGGCTGGTGGAAAGGAGAAAGAGGAAGTCGTTGCTTAATGGGTATAAACGCTCTAGAATCAGACCTAGGTGACGGTTGTACAACACTGTGACCTCGTTAAACCGCTGGATTGTGTGCTTTAAAAGGGCAGATTTTAGTATGTGAATTATAAATCCTAAAATAAGAGTTCATCAAGAAGTGCCTAATTTTGAAGTTTGCAGTTATTGTAAGATACTGTCACTTTAGTTGATAAGCAAATACATCTATCCTTGGTTAGGATTATGCTTATTTTTTAAATATGCTAGTTTCAAATTAAGTAAAACAGGTATAACATTCAGCCAACCCTTTTAAGTTGAATACTCACACCCAACCCTCAAAACAAAATGGTTAGTTGGGGAATACAATACTGAACTAGGCTAAGTCCAAATGTAATGTCCACCAAATATACAAACAAGCTTGGCATTGACACTAGCACAACACAGAAGTTCAGGTACACATGCCCCATGTGAAGGGAGGAAAAACACCAACTAGAATTTAACCGCTAAAGCCTAAGAGGATTCTTTAACAAATGGAAGATCGGCTTTACTCTTTCTTTGTTTGCTTGCTGACCTTTCTGAAAGCCACTGTACTGGAGGTTCAAACATGGCTACACACAAGAGTACAACCAAGCCTGTTCTCAGTTCTCATCGCTCTCCAGTGCGTCCTCTACATCAAGGGTTGTATATACTCAAATCTCCCTCACGCACAAGCTCACTTCTGCTCCTCCACTTTTGCACATGATGTCCCTCTTCAGCTAGGAATCCACTTCCCATCTTTGTCACTGGGTTACATTCACCTGTCAATCTGACTTGCCCTGATCCAAGAACCCACCCCTGGATTAGGCGTACCTGGTGCTCAGGTAACCAAGTGACACCTACTCTTAGATCACTCCCCATGTGCACCAACTTCACCTGCCTGTCTCACAGCGGGAACTAGGAGCAGTGTGGGCAGCTGGTGTCCTAGGCTTTGTAGTTCACTACCCAGCACAGAGCAGAGATCTTGAGTATTGTTGGTTTATATAGGGAAAAGGTTATTTTTTTTAAATAAAACTTAAAATTTCAGGACTCCAGTTTAAATTCATAGATGCATTGGAGAGGCCAAGCCAAGACCTGAGGTTCTGTCACAAATCCCTCATGTCGCCAGAGGTAAACTCTATTAGCCATTTCATCATTCAGTGGCTTGTAAAATGGCATGAGCCAATCCAGATGGCCCTATCAGACCTTTTCAGCTATTGCAGTCTATATTTTTCTGACCAGTTAGACTACATCATAGATTACTGAAATCATCAGACCTCAACCAACGTTCAGTTGTTCAAGTCACGTGGAATATACAATGCACTGCTGCACCTAAAGACAGGAGCCCACGACTCACCAATCATCTGGTTTGACAGCGTCCGGATCTGGTATTTTTGGTCTTTCATCCCAATCCTCAGGCTTCTGGTCTTCTGGGTCCTCAATTTCACGAGAAGGATTTACAGGGGGAGTCATGTCATTTAGCAGATTTCCACTGTTCACAACAGACTGGTCCACTAATATTTCAAAACTATTATCTGGATTCAAGACTGAAAAAAAGGAAACACAATTTTTAAAGTTTAATTATCTACCTATTCCTAAGCTCTGTCTACCCCCATATATAAGACAACATTTCTAATAGAAAGTGGAAGCATGGAGTAAAGACCTTGGGCACTAGAGTCAGAACATGTGCTTGGGGCCTTAAGCAAGTTAACCAACCCTCTTTTCTTTCTCTGTAAATCATAAATGCTAGTTCCTCAGGTTTTTGGAAATTAAAACAAATGACAGATACAGCAAACATCAAAAGACTTCACTTAGAAACATCAAAAAATCAAAGATACATTACAAATTGCAGTATCTGTCTGACACAAATGGTTACACACCAGTCAAGGCAGTAAGTTTACTGTAACTGCCCCCAGTAGAAAAAGCTCATTTTCTCATTTTTTTGAGTTGATATCACCACCACCCATGTTACCAAAATTTCAAATTACACAAACCTTTTACTTATTAAACCACATGTCTACTTATGGTTGTACTTTTGGAGTACAATGAAGAATGAAAACCCAATTTTAAATCCCAGAAGGCTCTTGAGTGTGACTTGTGCATACCTAAATGTCTAACAGGCAACTGACTAGGTCACAGCACAGACTACCACAGACCGATGGAGTACTGTGCCACTGTCATCAGTTCACAAAGATCAGCAACCTACAATGATATGGACTCTCACAGGAGGAGCCTCACACTTTTATCAAGTTAAGAGAGCAAGTGAAATAAAGTATATTCAGCTTTCAATAAAAAATTACATGTGTGCTTATACACATACTCTTCATGTTTATTCAGATATGACCAAATACATAACATGATGTTATTTCAGATCATTTTAAATGTTTCCTTTTGCTTATTTCTATCTTTTGAATTATACTGAATATATATTACTTTCATTATCAAGAAAAAAGGTTATTGTATTCTTCAGGAAAAGAGGCATGTCTATATAGGATCTTAAATGAGCAGGAAAAGCTTCACCAAAATAAAATATCCATTCCAACATCCAAATGAGTAAACTCAATTGTCTAGGTTATTTGGGCTTCCAAAGAGCCCAGCTGAAAGCTAATCTGGAAAAAAAGAATTGCACATATATTTCTATTGTATTCCTATTAGCTAACATTTTATCAACAAAAAAATAAGCAAAGGATGGAAGTGAGGGGGATGAGCAAAGTGGCTCTCTGAGGGACATTAAAGCTTATTGGAATTGTCTCAAATTCTAGCTCTCATTCAACATATGAAAGAGAAGCTTCTTTTAGTGTGGAGAACTTAAGATCATTTCAGCAGTAAGATATTAAGTAAAAAAAAGACTTTTATTTGTAGGCTTGGGTCTTTTCCAGATGTGCAATCTTTTAATTATATGGCAAATGCGTAGTGCCATGACACCCCAAATAGCTTTTTCTTACTTAACGTATAAAGATGTGTTTTCTTATCAGTAAAGTAGGTCTTCAGATCTGCATCTGGCCTCTTGGCGTGCTTTTCTTCATATACACCCGTTTTGGGGTTTTTGTGGCGGAAGATGAAGTGCAATTTATAGTCCTCTCCACATTTATCTGGGCCAAACATAATTGTATAAGGGGTCTTGTCGTGGAACTGATCCTTCAGAAACAAAATGGATTATTTTAAGTAACTTGATAACAGTGATCGAAAGCAACCTTTCAAAGCACGATGATATACTTCCTCTTATAAAATCCGAAGTATATTAGTGCCACCTTAAAGGAAAAGCTGATTCATTTATGAGGTTTGCTTAGGTATACCTGGGAAGAAATTACCAGGGAACTTTACATGAGAATATTTGAAAGAGCTTTAAAAAAAGAAGTAAAGGCATACATCTAGATAGTTACTGCTTCTTTCATAAAAGAAGTTTTTGCTAAAATAAAAAGTACACAAAACAGAAACCAGGGATAAGATAGAATGGCTTTGAAGTTCACATTTCAAATAAAAAACATATAAAATATCAAAGTCAACACTCTCAATCCTCCAAAATATTTAAACAGCAAAAGAGGAGGCCTTTGTTTTCAGGTTTCATAAATTTTCTTTTCTTTTCTCTAAGATTTTTAAAAGGTAACTGTGGGTGGCCATATAAATAAATACGAAGTACCTACCAGGTTGAGTTCTGGGGTTTTGGAAAGCAGTTTCACATAGGCACCACCACATTCTATACCATTTTGGAAATTAACCTCATACCTAATTTCAGAGAGAAAAGCAAAAAGCCATACGGCATTTTGAAAGATCAAATTTCTTAACATATTCTCTTTTCCCCCATCTCAGTCACATTTCATCACAGGTTGTATGTTTATCTTTAAGGAAGTCCTTCTATTGCTTTTGAATGGCTACCCAATCCCCCCAAAATTAGTAAAACAGTAAATCCTTAACTCAGATTCCCAGTAAACACTTTTTGCAAAGTCCAGAAGTTCATTTGCTAGGAGAAAACAAAGCTAATTTTTTAAAAATAATTTATTGGGGAGGAAAAAAATGTTAAAACTACAGGAGGCTTAACTACACTCCAAATCCCTATTGTAACATACAATTATTCTTATAATTTTTTTTTACATAGAGTAAAAGTTTTTCTGATATCACCCTTCCTAAAAAGCTTCCACCAAACAAGTGTTTCACTCACTGAACAATGAGAGGCTTGGTATCGAACAGGAAGGGCTTGTTCAGCTTAGCAGAGACGGCATGATGCTTGGCCCGAGACATCAATACAAGTCCTTTATCACCTGGAAGCTTTGTTTCCTTCATTTCATCTACCTCCCACTTTCCTGCAAGGCAATAACAAAGTGCCACTCCTTAACTACACCTCTGAAGATCCTTACATGGAACGAACAAAACCCCGAGCTATGTAAGTCCATCATATGACAAACTTTTAACATATTCCATTTACCTATGAGAACTGGCCTATTAACATTAAACACATACATATTTACAAATACTAGAATATGGTTTTTAAAAACCTGTAACATATTCATTTTAACAATGCCTAGAAAGACTTTCCATTTCCAACATACAGCACTAGAAGTGATGAATTATCTCTCCACTTTATGGTGAAAAACATTAAATAGGTCTAACTCTATGAACACACACAAGAGAGCAAAACTTTTATGGAAAAAATTTTAAATGTATACATTCTGCTTTTCAACTAGCCTTCAGAGACACTAGGGAAATATGTCAAACCTCAGTCGGCTCTATCTAAATCAAAAGGACTCTCACCGTCATATTTAGCAATTTCATCATCAGTGTCATCTTTCTTTGCTTTGGATAAAATCCACCTGTAAATTAAGACAAACCCCACAATTAAGATTCAAATGATGTGAAAAGAAACAACGTAAATACTAATAAAATTCTTAAGATTCCCAGTAAACACTGCAAAGATCTTCTTAGCCTACTTAACCACTTTCTACTTTTACATGTTACATAGTGATAATATACTGTACTCAACTCACAAATCTGTAAGACAATACCAAACCCGTGAAATAATCCACTTTTTCTTTTTAAGACACAAAAGAAAAATTTTTCTCAATCTAAGAACAAAATACAGGGTGGAGGGAGAGAGAGAAAAGGAAGCAAGAACCAACCACATGTTCTAAAAGTATTTTCTAAACAGGCAAGTTCGAAATATTCCTTAGTGGGCCTGAACACTGTGGCTATGAAGTAGTTAAGACATTTCACTGTATCAAATACTACCCTAAAATAAAAAAATAGCTATCCAAACAGGAATCCACTCTTTAATCTTATTTTTTTCACCTAAGAAACACTTACCCTGACAGGGTTCCTCTGTCAAAGGAATCAGCAAAATACACTTCCCCTGTTGGAACTGGAGCTTTGTAGGTAACCTGTGTCAAATATAAAAATGAACTAAAAATATAAATTTTATGTAACATTCCTTTCTTAGGATTTATTCTCTTGGTTTGCTTTTCAATTATCTCAAAATTTTTATAGGTGTTCTTCGAATTCAATCCATGTAATGTATCTCTGGCAACGTGATCACTAAGTATTTTAGCAAACTGTGTCGCCTTGGAAAAGGACCCAAATTAACTTTCACCCTGCAATTATCTCAAGACGTGAAACAAGTAGATTCAAAGACCAGTTCAAACCTTTGGAGACGGAGGTGTGCTGGTATCTGGTTTTGGTTTTGAGTCTTCCACCTCTTCAATGACATCATCGAGATCATCTTCAATATCAATCACATCATCGTCGTGGCCGTCGTGAGCCTGAATGACAGCAGTTCCAAGGAGCAGTAACATGCACAGCAACCACTTCCCGTCCATGATCTATGTATAAAGAGAGTAAAGCTCGTTAAACATTTCACCTCTCTTTAAAAGTTTTGGTAAGAACACTAATCCCTTTTACTTATTAAAAGTACGGGTTTTAAATCAGAGCTGAGAGGAACTTACTGTGAATATTTCATTTTATAGATAAAGTAAACCCAGAGAGACTATAGATTTTTTTCCCCCAAAATCAGTTATTTAAAAGACTGAATTCCAAAAAAATTTCAAAAAAATTCAAACATAAACAATTGTCCTCATATACAATATCATGTTTACTACACAAATCTAAGGTGTTCAAATACAATTTCAAATTAAACTCTTGCATTTGTCAAGAACTTGACAGTGGACAAAAGCCCCTTTCACGTACTGATTAAAATACTGAGAAGAAAATGATAACAAAAGAGCTAACCAGCCTCATATTAAAGACTTAATATAAAGATACTGCTTGTGTTGTTCAAAGATCATCCATCAAGTAGAGATATGGTTTTAAATCAGTGTTTTAAAACTCAACAACAAAAATACTAAACCAAAAACAGCTTTTACCTCTTATTTTCTAAACACACATGTTCTGTGTATTGTATTAAACTGTCATGGGCAATAGTGAGTCCTCTTTCCAAGGACTACAAATCTAGAGATATAAAAAGTGAGACACACATGCACAAAATGATTTGATAGTACAGTTTCAATTCTGCAAGATGAGTTCTAGAGATAGATGCAAGTTGATGGTTGTTGCTCAACAATGTGAATGTACCTACTACTAATAGTCTGTAAACTTGATAATGGTTGAGATGGTAAAGCTTACCTGTTTTTACCACAATAAAAAAGATTAAAAATAAAGGCAAAAAGATGCTCCACATTGCTAGTCATCAGAGAAATGCAAATTAAAACCACAATGAGATACCACCTCACACTAGTAAGGATCGCCACCATTCAAAAGACAAACAAATGTTGGCGAGGTTGTGGAGAAAAGGGAACCCTCCTACCCTGCTGGTGGGAATGTAAATTAGTTCAACTACTGTGGAAAGCAGTATGGAGAATCCTAAAAAAACTCAAAATTGAAATACCATTTGACCCAGGATTTCTACTCCTAGAAATTTACCCTGAGAATGCAGCAGCCCAGTTTGGAAAAGACATATGCACCCCTATGTTTATCACAGCACTATTTACAATAGCCAAGAAACGGAAGCCACATAAGTGTCCATGAGTAGATGAATGGATAAAAATGTGGTACATATACACAATGGAATATTATTCAGCCATAAGAAGAAAACAAATCCTACCATTTGCAACAACATGGATGGAGCTAGAGGGTATTATGCTCAGTGAAATAAGCCAGGCGGAGAAAGACAAGTATCAAATGATTTCACTTATCTGTGGAGTATAAGAACAAAGAAAAAACTGAAGGAACAAAACAGCAGCAGACTCACACACAGAACCCAAGAATGGACTAATAGTTAGTTACCAAAGGGAAAGGGACTAGGGAGGATAGGTGGGAAAGGAGGGATAAGGAGGGGGAAAAAAGAAAGGGGGCATTATGATTAGCATGTATAATGAGGGGGGGCACAGGGAGGGCTGTGCAACACAGAGTGACTCTATAGCATCTTACTACGCTGATGGACAGTGAGTGTAATGCGGTATGTGGCGGGGACTTGGTGATCGGGGAGTCTAGTAAACATAATGTTCCTCATGTAATTGTAGATTAATGACACCAAAAAAACAAAACAAAACAAAACAAAGAAGCACATGCACATCACCTATAAATTTTTTAAAAAAATCAATTAAATAAATAAGTAAATAAAGGCAGCAGAGCTTAATGTTTTCGGTTCCTTGTTTACAATGGAGACCTTATTTCTCAAAGTCCAAATAAACAAACTGAAGTAAGGGGCTGCTCCTTCATAAGTTTCAGTGGCCCCAATTCTCAACCATGGCTGCCAATTTTGACCAATTATGCTCCTAGAAAAATGTAAACCTACTCATTCTAATTATGAAATTAATGCCAAATTTCTTACAAACTCTGTAATGTTATATAGTGAGTAACTCAACACAGAACTAGACTACCATGTATAATGTGGTGATTTTCCTTTTATTTATGCACCTTGGGATTATGCTCATGAGATGAAAGACGTTCAAGTTCACTGAACTGCCTAAAACCTTAGGCAGTGCAGAAAGTAAGTGCTAAATAAAATCATTCATAACCTTTCCTGGGACTGGTATTGGTTTTCAGAAAAAACTCTCAATGTCAACATTCTGCTACAGTTTCTTATATACTTAAAAAATACTAGTAACCTTTCATTATTCACTGGAAAGACCTCTACTCTCTATTGGCAAAATAAGACACAATGGCATAGCAATATTTCTTTGTTTGATTTACAACTATAAGGGTTTCCCTACAACTAAATAGGCTGATTCAACACCTCCACCTAAATCAACTCTCTTCAACTTCCAAGTTCTCAGAAACACTGCTATAAATGGTGGCTGGATTCTCAGGGATGAGCTACAAAACTAAAGTGGCCCAAAACACAGCTAGAGCAATATACGGTTAGAGCTTTTTAATAGTAGTAATTAAGTAAAGTACAAAACCAAGTAGATTAATTAGGACCAAGTATTGGTGCTAGGACACTGTTGCTCAGGAAAAGCTAATCAGGGAGCTAGTCTAGTGGGCTTAACTAATTACCTTTAAAAAAGGACAGACTAATTTTTTTTAGTTTTTGATGTATTGTTATAGACTGAACTGTGTTCCCTCAACATCTGTGTGGAAGCCCTAACCCCAGTGTGACTGGATTTGGAGATAGGGCTTCAAGTACTTAAGGGTAGAAGAAGTTACAAGGGTGGAGACCTAATCTGGCGGGACAGATGTCCACATTAGAAGATGAGGAGACAACAAGAGAGCTCTGCACCCAGGAAAAGCCCATGTATGGACACAGCAAGATGGCAGCTCTCTGCAAGTCAAGGAGAAAGGCTTCACCAGAAACCAACACAACCAGCACCTTGCACTTCCGGCCTCCAGACAGAACAGAAAAGAAATTCCTGATCTTTAAGCCATCCAGCCTGTGGTACTCTGTTATGGCGGACCGAGCAGATTGACACAATTACCCTCAGGGTTAAGTGTAACACTGTAGAACAGGCCTTTTCAAACGTGAGCATGCACTGGCATCACACAGGGGCTTGTGACAGAGGACTGCTGGGCTTCGGCCGGAGTTTCTGACTCAGAAGGCCTTGGCTGGGCCCAGCCCCAGATTCTACATTTCTAACAACGTCCAGGGCATGCTGAGGCTGCTAGCTATGGAACCACTTTGAGATACACTGATTAGGCCTCATGCACAGTCCAACGGTGCTATTTCCCAGTTTATAAAGCACTTCACATACCCTGTTTCATGTAAACCTCTCATGAGGTGTTACTTTCATTTTATTTTACCCATTAGGAACTAAGACTCAGCAAAATTAATATCACCTACTAATTATCACAATAAAAATACTCTACTTTTGTTCCACTAGATAAAATGTTACTGTGTAACTGTACAGGGAAGGTGTGTACCAGAGGCAGAGGACAGAAGAGCACTGAAGAGAGTGGTCTGGAATAGGGTGCTCACGTAGGCTCTAATGAGGAAGGTAAGGGAACCATGTGAGGGAGGCAGAAGGGCCCCACTGGGAGCAAAACAGTTTTCAGGCACCAGAAATCTACTAGCCCTGTCAGGACCAACACAAAAGTCTATTCTCTCCCACCATTTCCCCCAGACCCTGAGTTGCAGACCCTGGTTTTTCAGTAAGAGATCTGCACTGATCAGTAACACCTTATCCAGAGGGTTTGAAAGCTGGAACCAATACTGCCCAACAACACAAAATCAGTTCTCACAGCTGTGCACTTCTGAGGCTTGGCCACTGCTACCTGCATGTATGCAGCTTTAACTGTCATTTGCCAAATGCCGCAGTCACTGGATGGGTCTGTTCTAGTTCCTAGACCACTGTTAATGCAGCTTAAATGTTCAAAGTTTTGTTAAGAAACTGTCCACGCTTACAATTAAAAACATATTTTGAGGTGATCTTAATTCTCTGTTTCTTTAATGAAAATCCAACATCACCAAAAACAAAATTGCCCATCTTATTTCAGTTCCCCTATCCACACTCCTTATATCCAATGGAATCCAAAAGGTGGCACTGATTGCATGGGTATATAAAAAGGATGCTGCACTATTAGACTTGCTAGAAGAAAATATAAAAGAAAATTTAGGTGATCTTGAATTTGACAAGGAGTTTTTACATACAACATTCAAAGCAAGACACATGAAAGAAGAAATTGGCAAGCTGGACTTCATTAAAATTAAAACTTCAAATCTGTGAAAGACTTAAAAGAGAACTAAAAACTAGACTAGAAGAAAATATTTGCAAAACACCTATCTGACAACAGACTGGTTTCCAAAATATATAAAGAATTCAAACTCAACAATAAGAAAACAAACCACCCTATTTAAAAATTGGGCAAATACCTGAACAGGTGTCTCACCAAAGATAATCAGATGGCAAACAAGCATATGAAAAGATGTTCAGCATCATTTGTCTGAGATACCACCATACACATATAAAGTTTAGCACAGCTAAGATCCAAAACACTCACAAGGATGTAGACAAGAGGAAGTCTCATTCATTGCTGGTAAAAATGCAATAGTACAGCACTCTGGAAGATTGGTAATTTCTTACAGAGCTATGTGAGGCCTTATATTTGGCAATTATGCTCAGAGGTACTTACCCAACTGATCTGAAAACTGACACATGTACAAAAACCTGCAAGTGAATGCTTATAGCAGCTTTATCCCTACCCTCATCACCCAAAACTTGAAGAAACCAAAATGTCCTTCAACAGGTGAATGAATAAACTGTGAGAGACCCACACAGTGGAATATTGTTCAGCAATTAAAAGAAAAGAGCTATCAAAACCACAAAAACTTGGATGAGCCAGTCTGAGGAGGCAACATGCTATATAATTACAGTTATACGACATTCTGAAA